CACTAATGCCGAGGATATCAATCTTTATGTGTTCCATTTCATTTTTGACAACTTCCAATTTTCCTAGATTCATACTTTGTACATTCCATGTTCTGATTATTAATGGATGTTTGTAGCTGTTTCTCCTCAATTTGAGTCATGCCACATCAGCAAATGGAGGTCTTGAAAGCTTTACTTTATCCATATCATTAAGGTTGGTTCTACTCTGATGTTGCAGCTCTTTCCCAGTTGTATTTTGAGAGCCTTCCAACCTAAGGGGCTCATCTTCCTGCACTGTATCAGACAATGTTTCTGGGCTATTCATAAAGTTGCACAGTAATGTAACAGACAGTGTTTCTCTGCTATTCATAAGGTTTTTCTCTGCCCAATTGTTTGAGATGTGGATGGCCTCTTCCTTCTTCCTAGTCTGTCTCAGTCTGCAAGCCACACTAAAACCTGTGTACCATGTGCAACCCCACTGGCATTTGAAACACCAGTGGCATAGCCTCAACACTCCCAGCAACATGCCACCACAGTATGACAAACTGACAGACAAGTTTGTCTCCCTCAGCCGTTGGAAACCTCTTCATCCTTTCCTTACCTGGATCCCTGCTGCTTTCCTGCCACTTGGGGGTGGGGCCTGGGTCCCTCCCTTTATTTTGTTCCCTGCCCTGCTCGCTCTGTCCTGGTCCCCCTGGCCCCCTAAGGCAACTAGATCTTAATATTTTTATCTATACTGATATCTATAGGTTTGTGGTAAACCCTAGTGGAGCAATAGTTAAGCACTCAGCTGCTAACCAAAAGGTTGGCGGTTTGAACCTGCCAGTGGCTCCATCGGACACAGACCTGTTGATCTGCCCCCATAAAGATGACAGCCTAGAAAAGTCTATGGAGCAATTCTATTCTGCCACATGGGGTCACCATGAGTCAGAACTGACTTGATGGTATACAACAACATCTATATACACACACATACTCTAGGTGCTATTCACATCTCAGTCTTGGATTGTTCAGTGTACAACCTACACAACCATACATGGATGCCCTGACTTGAATAAAGATAAAAACTAAAAGTATGTGGCCAACTGTTTCAAATGCTGTTAAGAGGGAGCATAAAAGGAGGACAGAGAAGGAACCCCTGGAGCCCCAGAGAAGGGGTTGAATGAAACCTGTGTCATACATGAATGGAACACCACCCGCCCATTCAGCCAGGGGCTGCTGTGGAGGAGGCAGTGGGGCCCAGGCCTTCCCCTAGCCTTACCCTGAGAGCATCTGGTTGAGCAAAGTAGGTGATGGCCCCGACCTTAATGGGGATCCACATGTCCATTATCTGGGCTGCGATGTGGCTGAGGGGGAGGTAGCTGACCACCATCTCTTGCTTCTCTGGGGGCAAAGACAGGTTGCAGTTCCTTGACACTGCCCCGGCCATCCACGTGATCTAGAACACAAGCTGGGTTACCATCCACAGTGCCTTGCTGGGGACTCATTTTAAGTGCATTCATTGAGCAGACACTTGCAAGCACCTACTATGTGCCAGGCACTGCTCTCACACTTGGTAGCCATCATGTCATTTCATCCTCCTGGGAACACCCTGGGACTGGTACTATAATCCCTCCAATTTACAGATGGGAAACAGAGGCACAGAGTGATGAACGAATGAGCCCAAGGCAAGGCAGAACTGCAAAACGCAGCAGGCAGCTTCGGGGGAGCTCTGGTAGCGTAGTGCCTAAGGCATTTGACTGCCAACCAGAAGGCTGGCGGTTCAAACCCACCAGCCACTCCTCAGAAGGAAGATGGGGCAATCTACTTCCATAGTGATAACTGCCTCGGAAACCCAAGGAGGGGTCGCTATGAGTCAATCCGACTCGACAGCAAATAACAACAACAACAATAGTGCAACAGCTGCTGACCAAAAGGTTGGTGGTTCAAACCCACCAGTGTCTCCAAGGGAGAAAGACCTGGTGATCTGCCCCCATAAAGATGACAGGCTAGAAAACCCTAGGGGGCAGTTCTGCTCTGTCACATAGGGGTGCCATAAGTTGGAAACAATTTGAGGGCACTTGACAACTAACCAAACCCACTGCTGTCCAGTCGATTCTGACTCACAGTGCTCCTAGAGGACAGAGTGGAACTGCCCCACAGAATTTTCAAGGCTGTCAATCTTTATGGAAGCAGGCTACTTCATTGTTTTCTCACGGAGTGGCTGGTAGGTTCAAACAGCCAACCTTTTGGTTAGCAGCTGAGTGCTTTAACCACTATGCCACCAAAGTTCATCACCCAACAACAAGTCCAGTATTGAGTCTGCGGTGCACAAAAGGTTAAGCACTTGGCTACTGAGAGGCTGGTGGTTCAGCTCCACCCAGAGTTACCGAGCAATCTGCTTCCAGAAGGTCACAACCTAAAAGACACTGGGAGCACAGTTCCACTCAGACACACGGGGTCACCACAAGTCAGAGTCGACTTGAGAGCAACTAGTCTGGTTTTTGCTTTAGGGTCCAACAGGGAGTCCCTGAATGGTGCAAACGGTTAAGCACTTGGCTAATAAATCTGTCCTGGAGGAAGTGCAGCCGGAATACTCCTTGGAAGCGAGAATGGCCAGACTTCATCTCACCTACTTTGGCCATGTTGTCAGAAGGGACCAGTCCCTGGAGAAGGATATCATGCTGGGTAAAGTGGAGGGTCAGTGAAAAAGGGGAAGGTCCTCAATGAGATGGAGAGACACTGTGGCTGCAACAATGGGCTCAGGTGCAGCAGGGATTGTGAGGCTGGCCCAGGATCGGGCAGGGTTTCGTTCTTATCATTCATAGGGTCGCTATGAGTTGGAGCCGACTCAATGGCACTCGACAACAACAACAAATAAACAAAAACGTGGCATTTGGAGTCCATCCAAAGGCACCCTGGAAGAAAGGCCTGGTGATCTCCTGAAAAATCAGTCAGTGAAGCCCCTCTGGGGCACAGTTCTACCCTGAGACACATGTGGTGCCATGAGTCGGAATCAACTCCACAGCCACTGGTTTGGTTTTGTTTTCAAGGTCTAACAAGAGACTCTAGACTCAGAACGTCTGACTGAGTCCTGTGTGATAGACCCCAGAGCACTGCCCTGCCCCTGTGGGTCAAGAAGAGAAGAGCGGAAGGTCACTGCTGCAGAGAGTGAGAGAGAGGACTTTGAACACCGTCAAGTTCACCATCATTGCACTTACATTATCATGACTCAGCATCACGCCCTTGGGGTTGCCTGTGGTCCCTGAAGTGTAGATGATCACAGCACACTGATTGGCCTTCTGGCTCTCAATGATCTCATCCAGCTGGGAGTCGGGGATGCTATTGCCAAGTTCCATGAAGTCATCCCACTGTGGAACAAAAAGACCAGCAAAGGATGGGGGGCTGGGAGCACCGGAACTCCTGACCTCAGTGGGAGCTAAAGGGCAGTTGCTGCAAACGGTTTATGCTTAGCTGCTAACTTAAGGTTGGCGGTTCAAACCTTTGTGTGGCGGTTCAAGCCACAGACGACAAGTCTAGAGAGAGATCTACTTCTGTGAAGGTGACAGCCATGAAGACCCCACAGAGCAGTTCTACTCTGGAACACATGGGGTTGCCGTGAGCTGGACTGACTTGTGGG